GAGGTGATGAGGTTGATTTTATCACAGTCGGACACAGTAACATATAGCAGGCTGTCAGTTAGGAGATGGGTTGGTCAGTTGAGGGATGGGTAAGATAGGGAATTTATTCCATTTTATGTACCAGGTAGTGGGGAGGAAAAACCTGGCCCTCACAACACAAGGATATCAGTACATACATGATTATATCCACATCATCAGGTGGTTATTGACTTTGAATCAATATTAAGCTCAGATTAATCCGGCAGCACACTCCTTCATTACCCCTTGTTGACTCCAAGGCCGTGTTTTTATACCTATCCCACACTGGGAAGCACCCTAGAGGCAGGAGCTGAGGTTAAGAGCTCCTTGGGTGTGGGGTTTGCTGTGGCTGCCTGATTCACAATGACCTTGCACGAGTTCCAGCTGGCTCTAGGAATGGACAGAACAAAAAGTGACAAGCATGTGAATGCTAGGGATGCCAGGTCAGTCACTTCCTGTTTGTTGTATATCTTTTAGGTTCAGCACCCAGGTGACAGCCAGGACAGAGTTCACAAATCTGAGTTCAGCACTTCTGGGCAGAGAACTCCTTGTCAGTGGTGCCATCTGCAGGGCATTAAGGAATTTGCCAGGAATTTGATGGGATTGGGAGGGGGGAATGGCATCTCTTTCCTCTCTCCCTCAAGCCTCTTAATCTGAATGTGTCCCTAAATCACAATCCTGGTCCTTCGTAAGGCTGAAAGACCCTTATTGCCTCGGATCTTGTGGCAGGCAATATTTAAGGCACCTGGTCCTACAAGGCAGGTCACTGGGCGGTAGTATCACTTCCCTTCTTCCTCCCAATTAAATCTGCCGTCTGCACCTGGCTGGTGTGGCTCAGTGGTTGCATGTCGACCCATGAACTAGGAGGTCGAATTTCTATTCCCAGTCGGGGTACCGGGTTATAGGCTCTATCCCAGGTTGGGGGGCAACTGATTGATTATTCTCTCTCATCATTGATGTTTCTATCTCTCTTTCCCTTCCTCTCTCTGAAATCACTAAAAACATATTTTTAAAAAATTAAAATCTGTCATCTGCAAATAAGTGATGCTAAGCTCTGGCCAGGTAGCTAAGCTGGTTGGAGCATCTCCCTATATACCAGGGTTTGGGGTTCAATCCCTGTTTAGGGCACATAAAGGAATCAACCAGTGAATGCATAAATAAATGGAACAGCCCTAGCCGGTTTGGCTCAGTGGATAGAGCACCAGCCTGTGGACTCAAGGGTCCGGGGTTTGATTCCAGACTAGGGCACATGCCCAGGTTGCAGGCTCGATCCCCAGTAGGGGGCGTGCAGGAGTCAGCCAATCAATGCTTCTCTCATCATTTATGGTTCTATCTCCCCCTCTCCCTTCCTCTCTGATATCAATAAAAATATATTTTTTAAAAAAGTGGAAAAAATTGCTGTCTCTCTTAAAAATCAATCAATCAATAAAAATTTTTAAAAAATGAGGCCAAGAACGCTGGGTTGGGAAGTTATTTAAGCATTCTGGTATTAAAAAGAAAAAAAAAAGTGGGAGGGCCCCAGCTAGCTGGCTCAGTTGGTTGGAATGTCGTCCCATACATCAAAAAGGTGCAGGTTTGATTCCTGGTCAGGCACATACCTAGGTTGCAGTTCAATCCCTGGTCAAGTGCGACTGATCGATGTTTGTTTGTTTGTTTTTTTCTCTCTCTCCCTCCCTCCCTCCCTTCCTTCCTCTAAAATCAATAAGAACATATCCTCAGGTGAGAATTAAAAAAAAAAAAAAAGTGGGTGGGTAGTAAATTGAAGGTGTTGATGTTAAGGTTAATTCTCATTATTATTATCCTTGCCATCTCTAAATAAGCCCTCATTAGGCTTTTACTTCTATTTCTTTCTTTTCTGAGTAAATGGCTCTTTCTTTCTTGGCTTCTTGGCTTGGGATGCCCTGCTCATCTCTCAAGCTTGGACATGCATCTCTAAGCTTACAAGTCCAAGACTTGATTGCCCTATTTACCACTCCTTACTGAGAAGGGCAGGGTGGAAATCTATAGTGCAAAAGGGAAAATAAGAAAAAAAAAAAAGGGAAAATAAGGCCAGAAGATTGAGAACCTGCCTAGTGACAGAACAAGAGGTCAAGTGTCTCTCTCTGTTCCCTAGGCCTCTCCACCCCGAGACTCACCTGAGGAGGTGCTTAAAGAGACCTGGGCCTGTCCTCTTCTGGGTACAGTGACTTCAGTTTAGGTATTCACCATGGTCCAGTGTTTGACATACCGTTGGAGGCTATCCTACAATACAGCCTCTAACAAAACTAGACTGTCCCGAACCCCTGGTAATAGAATTGTATACCTTTATACCAAGAAGGTTGGGAAAGCACCCAAATCTGCATGTGGTGTGTGCCCAGGCCAACTTTGCGGATCTTGTGCTGTGAGACCTAAAGTTCTAATGAGGTTGTCTAAAACGAAAAAACACATCAGCAGGGCCTACGGTGGATCCATGTGTGCTAAATGTGTCTGTGACAGGATCAAGCGTGCTTTCCTTATTGAGGAGCAGAAAATCCTTGTGAAAGTGTTGAAGGCACAAGCACAGAGTCAGAAAGCTAAATAAATTTAAAAATGAAGCTTTTTTGAGTAACAAAAACAAGTCTCATTCTGTTATTTAAAAAAAAAAAAAAAGAGAGAGAGAGAGAGAGAGAGAGAGAGAGACCTGGGCCTGGCCTGCCCACTGTGGCTCAGTGGTTGAGCGTTGACCTATGAACCAGGAGGTTGCAGTTTGATTCCTGGTCAGGGCACATGCCTGGGTAGGGGGCTCTATCCCCAGTGGGGGCATGCAGGAGGCAGTGGATCAGGGATTCTCTCTCATCATTGATGTTTCTCTCTCTCTCTCTCTCTCTCTCTCTCCCTCCCTCCCTCTCTCTGAAATCAAAGAAAATAACAAAGTAAGAAGAATTTGGCCTAAGAGGGAAATAATCATTATTTTTTACCTCCCTTGGAGCATTCTGTGGGCCATAAGCATTACTAGGCACTGTGCTTGCTGCTGGAGCAAAGATGTAAGATAATAAGACCCCAGTGCTCCCCTAAAAGAATGCTTGGTAGCATTTCCCGGGTGCCTTAGCATGTCATTTAGCCATCCCTGCCATGTCAAACACTTGGTATTTCATGCCACTGAAGGCTTTGATTACTGCTAGTCAACTACTAGTCTTTTTTTTAAAATAACCACTTTAAAAAAATTATTGATTTTAGAGAGAGGAAGAGAGAGAGAGAGAGAGAGAGAGAGAGAGAGAGAAACATGGATTTGTTGTTCCACTTATGTACGGATTCATTGGTTGATTCTTGTATGTGCCCTGACTGGGGATTGAACCCGAAACCATGGTGTATTGAAACAATGCTCCAACCAACTGAGCTTCCCAGTCAGGGCTAGACATCGTCTTGATATATAAGATGATTGGGTACAGAGGGGACAGAGGTAAATACTGAATTTTAGCAGCAAGTTAGAACAATAACCAAATAATTAAGGTATAAAGGGGATAGGATAGTTCAGGGGTGTGGATAGGTGTCTCTTCTAAAGGACAGCTTAAAAGACAATAAAAAATACTGAAATTCGAGTTTGAACGGTAGAAAATGGGAAGACATTATGGTTTCTAAATTGCCCTCTCTTGGATTGCTCATTCTGGAGGAAGCCTACTGCCATATTGTGGACACTAAGGAGCCCCATGGAGAGGTCAACGTGAAGAACGAAGGCCACCAGCCAACAACTAGCACTAACTTGCCAGGCATGTGAGTGAACCACCTTGGAACTGAATCCTCCAGCCTGTTAAGCGTCACATGACTTCAACCTTGTGAAGACAGACCATCGAGCCAAGCTGCTCATGAATTACTGACCCTCTGAAATTGCATGAGGTAATACACATTGTTTTGAGCTACAAGTTTTTGAGCAATTTGCTATGCAGTAACAGATAATAAATCACAAACACCTATGGACCTACAACCCAAGCTTGTCATCCTAACATTTGCCTTACTACAGTTTTTCTTCTTTTTCTTTTTTTTTGTTGTTGTTAATCCTCACCTGAGATTATTTTTCCATTGATTTTCAGAGAGTAGAAGGGAGATGGAGAGACAGAGAGAGAAATGTGGATGTGAGAGAGACATTGATTGCTTGCTTCTGGAATGAGTTCCGACCAACCAGGTCCAGGGATGACCCTGCAACCAACCGAAGTTCATGCCCTTGATCAGAAGTGAACCTGGGACTCTTCAGTCTGCCGATGCTCTATCCACTGAGCCAAACTGGCTAGGGCCAGATAGTTTATTTTCTTAAAAAAGCAATGGTCCCCCACCTCAAAATAAAATATTACAGTTGAAATACTGGCTTCTTAACCCTGTTCCTGCCTTGTGCCTCAGAACTCTGAAAAAGCATCATGGCACCTTTTTTTTACTTTTTTTTTTTTCAGAGGAAGAGGCCTTTATTGCAGCACAGCCCAAACACAAAATGCAGCCTGCCCACTGGCCCAGGCCAAATCCACAATAGTTGGAGATACAGACTACTTTCCCCACCAGGGCCAGGCAGGGACGCCCCTGTCCTACCTTTGCCCCTACAGCAGGAAAGCTCCAAACTTCTCCACTCTTCATAATCACCGTTCTGGAGGACAGGCCAAGTCCAGTAAGGCAGGGAGTGAAACAGCTGTCAGGGGACAGTGTGTGAGGGTCAGGGGAGGGGGTCCGGAGCCCCAGAACAAAAGCCACAGCTGGGACTGGAGAAGGAGAGAAGCCTCCATGTCCACCCTGGGTTTCTGGGGCCCAGAGCCCTGAGGGTGTAGCACCTGCGCTTCCTGTGGAGTCCCTTGGTGACGGAGCTCAACCGTGCAGCTGCCAGTCACTAACGAATCCCAGCCACTGGCACCTGCTGCTGCTTGCAAATCTTGTTGAAGAGTTCCATGTACTGGACCATGGTATCTGCTGGGCCGTAGGGGCCAGGTAGGCATCAACACCGGTTTGCACTCAGAGGGACGTGGAAATCTGCAGAGCCCTCTGCTGAGCTGCTCCTTCAGCACATCCCGCTCCTACTTCACCAAGGTCTTACCTCCACAGAGATGCCTCGGGCACTGGGCCCCATTGTGACCGTGCCCACCTTCACTAGGAAGTCACAGTACTGGTAACGGGTGCCCCGGGTCTCAATCTTGCTGGCCTTGGCACTCTGGAAGAAGCCCTTGAGCTTCACCATGAGCACATCAAAGTTGGTGTCGGCAATAAGGCAAGGGCCATTCTCAAAGAGGGCGAAGCAGCTCAAAGGGTATTCTGAATTGTGCATCACATACATCAGCTTCCCAGTCTGACCTTGGCTGCCAAGGGTAGAAGCAGCCGTGTGATAGGTCTCACAGTCTACACAAAATGTTCCTTGCTTCTCTGCCCCGAGCACCTCCAACTTCCGGGTGAGGAGCTCCACGGTCTGCTGGACACTCTTGCCCTCGGCCACAGGCATCTGGGACACACAGGTCACTCCCATGATGTCGGACCAGGAGGATGGCAGGACCAAAGAGTCGAATCGCAGAGTTCTCCGGCCACGCACAGTTAGTCCATCATGGCACCTTTTGCATTGAGTATTGCTTGCCTCTGCAATGGTTTGCTGCTGCTTCCTAGGCTCTACTCTAGCCACCTTTCCCTCTTTTGCAGAAAGAACTGGAACATTTCAAAGGATCTTCAGACATTCCAAGATGGTCTTCCCACTGAATTAACTCAAAACCATAATTCCCATTTGGTTATTAACCCAGCTTAAAGCCCTGGCATTTGTCTTCCCCTGGGGACTGTGGTGGCTCCACTTGTGTTGCTATGCTACCCATCAGAGCTTTCTTAAATGTCTATGCTAAACCACATTGTTTCCTTCAGAAGGTAGGAACAACTATTTTGTATATACAGAGTGGGACAAAAGTAGGTTTACAATTTGAGTACACAAAAATTTACTTTTAAAAAAGTTTCTATTGATTTTATAGCGGGAGCAACATCAATGATGAGAATCATTCATTAGTTGCCTCCTGCATGCCCCCTACTGATCAAGCCTGCAACCTGGGCATGTACCCTGACCAGGAATCTGACTTCCTGGTTCAAGGGTTGATGCTAAACTGCTGAGCCACACCAATAGGGCACGAAAAACTTATTGTGCTATATTATTTTCCATACAAACTGTAAACCTACTTTTACCCCACCCTGTACATACGAAAAAACTTGGGCAATTTTTGGTCTTTCCTACTTTTAAACCAGTTAAGATGGCAACATCTTCAGCATTCTTAATTGTCCCTATACTTTCTGAATTTGAAATGTACATTTTCTTCTAGGTTAAATCCTCATTTGCTTATCTCTAGATTCCTTTTGACGTAGCCAAATTATATACTTGATAATGTATGCTCTTAACATTTACAAATGTTGCCACTTCATCCCCGTAGTAAAGCAGTGCTCTCCCACAAATGCACCTAACTTTTTAACAAGTCACTATTTGCAGGAGATTCAAATAGATTTAGACATGCGTTGGAGATATTGTAGGCTTGGTTCCAGATTGCAATAAAGCATTACAGTCTTTTTACTGGAGGTCCTTTTGTTCAATTTATTAAAAAAAATCTGAAGTGCAGTAAAACCAGGAATGCCTGTACTTGTTATTGCTCATTAGTAATTACCCAATAATTTCAAGAACTAGATTAAGCAGAATGACTTTCGATACATTAGAACCAAGCTCTGCTTTTCCAGACCAGTGTGCTCGTTTCTCTTCATAGAGGTAGCTAGACAGGAGTTTAGTATTACCACCTTGTTGCTGTCTCTATCCTACAAGTATAGAAAAAGCAACTTAGGAAAAAGGACAGAAGTCAAACTTTCTTTCTCCATGCCTTTACTTTTAAACATGAAGGGAAAATCGTACAGGTATACATGAAAAAAAGGCAGACATGATCACAAGTAAAAGCGAAGAAAATCTAACCAGAAAGCTTTAATGCCTGTCAGCTGTTGGACCTGAAGTTCTGAGTATGACATGTTGCAGAGCTGAAAGGAATCAGTATTCCTCTCCTTCTTCCTCACCCTCTCCTTCAACAGAATCCACACCAACTTCCTCATAATCCTTCTCAAGGGCAGCCATGTCCTCACGGGCCTCAGAAAACTCTCCTTCCTCCATGCCCTCACCCACGTACCAGTGGACAAAGGCACGCTTGGCATACATCAGGTCAAACTTGTGGTCCAGGCGAGCCCAGGCCTCAGCAATAGCTGTGGTGTTGCTCAGCATGCACACAGCTCGCTGTACTTTGGCCAGGTCTCCACCAGGGACCACAGTGGGAGGCTGGTAGTTAATGCCAACTTTGAAGCCAGTGGGGCACCAGTCCACAAACTGGATGGTACGCTTGGTCTTGATGGTAGCAATGGCAGCATTGACATCTTTGGGGACCACGTCACCACGGTACAACAGGCAGCAAGCCATGTATTTACCATGGCGAGGGTCACATTTCACCATCTGGTTGGCTGGCTCAAAGCACGCATTGGTGATTTCTGCTACAGAAAGCTGCTCATGGTAGGCTTTCTCAGCAGAGATGACAGGGGCATATGTGGCCAGAGGGAAGTGGATGCGGGGATAGGGCACCAGGTTGGTCTGGAATTCAGTCAGATCAACATTCAGGGCTCCATCAAACCTGAGGGATGCAGTGATGGAGGACACAATTTGACCTATCAACCTATTCAAGTTAGTGTAGGTTGGGCGCTCAATATCGAGGTTTCTACGACAGATGTCATAGATGGCCTCGTTGTCAACCATGAAGGCACAATCAGAGTGCTCCAGGGTGGTGTGGGTGGTGAGGATGGAGTTGTAGGGCTCAACTACAGCTGTGGAGACCTGGGGGGCTGGGTAAATGGAGAACTCCAGCTTGGACTTCTTGCCATAATCGACGGAGAGACGTTCCATCAGCAGGGAGGTGAACCCAGAACCAGTTCCCCCACCAAAGCTGTGGAAAACCAAGAAGCCCTGAAGGCCTGTGCACTGGTCAGCCTGTTAGAAAAGAATAGAGGAAACATAGTTATTGCTTTTTGTGATGTATTTTCACTTTCCATACATTCCAAGGATATAAATCTTACTTTGACAAGAAACACTTTTAAAAAATGTCTTCCTTAGGCTCATTGATTTCTTTATTCTTGAGAAGAAACATACCAGTTTCCGAATTCGGTCCAGGACCAGGTCAATGATCTCCTTGCCGATGGTGTAGTGTCCACGGGCATAGTTATTGGCAGCATCTTCCTTGCCTGTGATCAGCTGCTCAGGGTGGAAGAGCTGGCGGTAGGTACCAGTGCGAACTTCATCTGCAAAAAGGAACCAAAGCAGCTGCCCATCACTAACAACCTGCACAGCCTGCTCAACCCCAAGGCCTCAACAGAGCCCCCAGGACACACCTCCTGTCCCAGACCCCCAGGATCTTACTTGGGTTACTGAGGTCAACTCACCAATGACTGTGGGTTCCAGGTCTACAAACACTGCCCTGGGCACATGCTTGCCAGCGCCTGTCTCACTGAAGAAGGTGTTGAAGGAGTCATCTCCCCCGCCAATGGTCTTGTCACTTGGCATCTGGCCATCGGGCTGGATGCCGTGTTCCAGGCAGTAGAGCTCCCAGCAGGCATTGCCGATCTGGACACCAGCCTGGCCAACATGGATGGAGATGCACTCACGCTGTGGAAAAGAGAAAAAAAGAAAAACCAGGATGAAACTAATCCAGGATTGACTGTGAAGCAGAACAATACACCTATGGAATCTTCATCTTACTAATTGCCTGGGTTTTTAACAGTGTTTTCATCGATTTTTTAGAGAGAGGAAGGAAGAAGGATAGAGATGGAAACATTGATGAAGAACATCATTGATTGGCTGCCTCCTGCACACCCTCTACCAGGGATTGAGTCTGCAACCCAGGCATGTACCCTGACTGGCTCAGTCAACCACTGAGCCACACCAGCCAGGCAACTAACTGCCTCCTTTAAAACAAATTAAAATGTAAAACTTTTTTTCTAGGGACAACCACTGTGTTTCGATCTACATTGCTTTTACTGAATTTCCTTTCCCCCTGTGAACCAAGGAGAGACCTTAGTCAGAGCTTTCTCCTGTGAAGGACCAAGATGGAGAGGAGGCCGTTCGTCCAGCACTCAGGCTCCAGAATACCATTTTAGACCAGGCCGCCCGATTTCCGGGCAGCTCCCAGGACAGGAAGCACGTGGCCAGGGCGGTGAAGAGGAAATGTCTGGCCCGGGGGCCGGGCTCTGCGGCGCAGGATGAATGAGCACTTTTAGGTGTGCGCGCCCACGGGGGCCGGCGGGGCCGCGCAGCTGCAGAGGC